TTGGGCTTTTTGGTTTGTTTGTTTGTTTGTTTGTTTGTTTGGGTCTTTTTTCTGTGGTGGTTCTTATTTACAATGCTGTGTTGACTATCCCCACACAGTCTTTTTTTAAATTTTTAAACCTCTTTAGGTATAGTTTCAATTCTTTCTTCCATCTTTTACAATTTCTTCTGTAACTGTTGATATTCCTGCACATTGATATATTTCTTCTGGCTTTCTGTCTCTGGAGTAGTTGTTGTATTTGTAGCTTCCATTCCTTGTGCCATCATTTGCAGAATCTCCCATAATTTCATATAAGTAGGTTCATATTAATATATTTCTTCAGATTCTCTATCTCTCACATATTCACTTTATTCATGCCTTCCATTTTTTTCTTGTATAATTTGTACCTTCTTCTGTAGCTGTTTAAATAACTCCATGCCAATATATTTCTTCTTTCTCTGTCCATGGAGTATTTACTGTGTCTTCCATATGCTCTGTTTTTTTTTCAGGAGAAGGCTTATTTTGGTTTTTTTTCTCCACAGTATTTGAAACTGTCTGCTCTTCCTTGTCATTATGTCAGGTTTTTCTTGCTATATGTTAGGGTGTTTCTATTGTGGCCATTTCGGTTGTTGACAGTTCTTTATCTTTATGATGTTATTTGATTATTTGCAGACTTTAAGTGTTCACTTTCTGGCAGAGGGCAACTTGCTTTTAGTCCTTCCTGATCCTGTGCAGTAAGAAAACTTGCCTTGCCTAAAATCTTTTAACTACTCTCTTGTCTGTAATGCCTCTCTGTGAGACTGTCACCTGAGTACTGCCCATCTCTTCTAAAGTTTCCAATTTTCTTTCTTGTGCTTGTACACAGTGAGACTGGAGACCAAGTTCCATTTGATCACTGTACTCTATCAAGTGTGGAGGGAGAGGGCATGGTCAGGTACCTCAGGGATAAGCAGTCGCAGGAGCAGTTCCTGGGTTCTTTTTCTTGGGAGAAATACCCAGGGAAGTGGTTGGTATCAAGCAGTGCATCCCCACAACTCAGTTGGTGCTCTTGGCTGACCCTTGCATTGTTCTCTTGTGTCTAGTCAGGAGGGAGCCACTGCTACCTGAGCCACTTTAGCTCAGGGAGGTGGCCAGGACTCAACTGTGCCATCTCCATGTCTCATCTGGTGCTAATGGCTGGCTCTCGTACCTGTCTCCTCTCCTGCAGCTGGTTTGGGTGGGAGCCCTCCTTGCCTCCCCAGCAACACGAGTAACATTGGTCTAGCTAAGTAGTTCAAACCACATAGGTGTCAGATGGTGCTAATGGCCAACCAGTGCACCTTTTTCCTGTGCTATGGCTTATCAGAAGGGATCCTGTCTTGCATGAGCTGATAAAGGCCCAGAGAAGCATTAATGCCCATTCAGGACAGTCCTCAAGTCTCAGTTGGGATTAGTGCCTGATCCATGCACTTTTCTCCCTGCTGCTTGTCAGTGGTGAGCTGTGTTTTCTTAGTAGACATAGGCTATGGTAAGAGACACAGTTCCAACAGTACAGTCCCCAAGACCGCTGGTGCTACTTGCCACCCCCTCATTCCTCTGCCCTCTCTTGGACCTAGTTGAGAGCTTTTCCTAGTTGAGCAATGTCCAAAGGAAACATCAGGGTCCAAGAAGTGACGTGAAATCCCTGTTTGTGATAGTCTCAGACTTTCTCACCTCTCTCTTCTTTTTCACCTGGCCAGGAAGGAGCTATTCCGGCCTGATTCCTTTACTGGTGGTGGTGAGTCAGGGATAGATGTGATGCTGGGTGTAGGCATGGTGCAGGCATGGTTGGGGTTGGGGGAGGAGTGACATTTGGGGGCAGAGAGGTGCCAGGAGTAGGCAGAAGGGCACTGACGCCCCCCCCCCCCCCAGAATGGAGGATCCTGTGGTTGGGGAGCAAGAAGAGTATTCCTTTATTTTTATTTGTTTAAGTCTTATTGAGAATACTTTAAAAATTTGAAATAGAAATATAATTTGATCCAGTAATCCTACTACTAGATATATATCTTAATTAAATGAGAGCTCTGGCAAGAACAAATATGTGCACACTCATGTTTATTGCTTCATTAGTCACAACAGCAAATGGATAAAAACAAGTTTCCGTCAATAGATTAGTTAAAGAAACTACAGTTTAGTTACACATTGGAGTACTATGTAACATTGAAAAACAATGAAGAATTCTGGAAACATTGTATAACAAGGGTGAACTAGAAGATAATATGTGAAAGAAATGTTTGTCACAAAAGGAAAAATACTGCATGATCAGTATATAAAATGTTAATGAAAGGTAGAATTTTTCTTGCATGATTACCAAGGAAAGGGAGGGGAGTGAGTGAGAATAAATTCTTATTAAAATGGATGAAAGGAAAGGCAGTATAGTATATGTGGACAACCAGACATTGTGAGTATTGTAATTAATGTTACAAAACAATGCGTGGATGATTCAGTGAGTGAAAAGCCAATATGCATTTTTAGCTTTCACTTAACTCACAATTTAAGAGAAAAGCTAGAAGTCCCTACTTTGCACTTCCTACATGATGGCTCATTTGCATTGAATTGGAACTGACTCATAACAGGCCCCCCATCACGTTTTAAGAGGTTGTGAATCACACAGGAGTTTGCTCGTCTTTCTCCCTTAGAGCAATTGGTGGATTTGAACTGCCTGCATTTGAGTTGGTAGTGCAACTCCTTAGCCTCTAGATTACTAGAACTCCCTACAAGGAAACATTTATTTTAATAATTTGGAAACTTCCAGACTATTTACACATGTGTACAGGTACACATTTATGAAGGGGAACTGTGTGTGTATGTATATGTTTGAGTCCTTATCTGTGTGCTTGTTTCTTGAAAAGAAATTATTGTATCTGAATATGTGGAGAATATAGATTATAACCTGCAAATTGTTTACCATTTAACTTCCTATTTTCATTTTATATAAGTATATGTGAGTGTGTGCACTCACATGAACATGCATATGTGATCAGTCATAAGCACATAAGATCATGGCTTTGTCACACTCTCTTGTATGAATGTGTTATTTGGCCATTTTTCTGCTGAAGGACGTTCAGAGTGTCTCCACATTTCACCTGATTACAAACCAAGTGGTATTCACCAGAAGGGCCTGTAAACTTTTGTCCTAGCTTCATCTTTATTTAGTTTCTCCACTTCATAGTACAGGCGACAGAAAACCAACCTCAGGGTGGTTGGGTGACCTTCAGGGACCAATGTAAAAGTTGTCGTTTTCTTTTAGATGATCCTCATATCAGAAAAAAAGGAGCATTTCTACTGTGGAGTGTTCTATGATAAAAACAGCATTTTTAGAGAAGTTTCTCCTTTGCAGCTACTAGAAATTTAAGGTGCACAATCTAGCATGGATGGATTGTGGCCATGAAATCTTGAAACACTTTTAACTTGGCAGAATTCTAGATTTCAGAGCTGCAAGAAATGTCGGATTGATAAATCAATTTGTTTGTTTGTTTCCCTCACTTAAATCATTGATCCCTAAATTGAAGATATTTTTCACGACATTTAACTTGTTTTTTTATGATTTTTTTGTTTATATTTCTGTGTAGCTGCATTAAACATTAATTTATAGTTTTTACTAATGGCATAACTAATCATGCTTTTAAAAAGCTAAATACCATTTCAAGGTTAATGCATCATTGAAAGGAAAAAGTATTCATTAAGGTGTTCATAAAACTTTATGCCCTTTAGTCACTATTTACATACTAGATATAGTATCTTACTTTGGTCATGGCTACTGGCCATATCTTGAGGATTAACATATGTTGACTGAAACTTCTGCATGCTTTTACGTTTTGAACTTTAATTTCTTAGGATGAAGGGACATTTTTATTTATATTCGTCTTTTTGCTTAGGAAATTTTGTTTAATAGTCATGCAATAGTAAAGAATTTAAGAATGGTGATATCAAATTGTTAGAAATTCTACTTCTATTTTGTAATTTGATAATTGTTCAGCAAATTATTGTAACTTGTTGCTTAAGTGTTTTTTTACCTCCCAGCCAATTGCCATTTGTCTATATCTTAGCCATAGTTTTGAATTTATTATTTTACAAAAAATTTAAGACACACTGTGAACAACCATATCAAGTGACTGTAGAAAAGATATCATGTTTGTGGCATTTTCTGTATTAAAATTGAATTGTGGTCATTAGGCAGATTTTATGCACATTATCAAATTGGGTTGGTAACCCTTCCTTTATAGTGATTTCTTCAAATATCAAGTAGACTTACTTTTTTTACAACAAATTTTATATTTATTGTTATGATTTCCTTGCCCACAAAACTGCAGATCTTAAGAATGTTATTTATTTAAAAATATACTTTGATGAAAAAAAGACTGAGGTGGGTTTTTTTCTTAAAGTAGTGAGAAAGGGAAAAGTCGTCTAATATTATGATATGAAAATCTGAACAGAAATTCAGCTACTTACAAAAATATATTATGGTAGTGGACATGCATCTTAACAATATGCATAGACTTACAAATTTTATTTTCTTTTACATTAGATTTATTTAGTGTAATGTTAAAATTTTATAATATTACAGCAATACTGAAAACTTCGTAACTGTTATAATCAGAAAAGGGTTTAATTGAAAGGTAATTGCAGCTTAGGACTTTTCTACACCTCTCTACATCAGAGGAATGACCTGTCTTGCTCGATGGTACCCACCTTTTCTATTAAAACTATCCCTTTTTCACCTTCAACAACAACAAAACAGGAAAAATAATTGTAACTTGTCATAGAATTAAATTGTTATGTAATGATTTTCATATTACTGTAAACTCTTAGTTTATGTTTATATGATTTCATATGTTATATATCTTTTATAATTTTTATAATTTATATTTCATAATTAAATTATTATGTAATATTTATATTATTTGTAAAAGTCAGTATATTTTTATAAATGAATTAAAACCCCTTTTATAAACTGGAAACGTATAGGTTCCTTTGCATTAAGTTTTCCTTTTCTTTTTCAGTCTGTAATCAAAACTGGGAGGCTGCTGATTAGTCACGAGGCTCCTTTGACTGGCGGCTTTGCATCGGAGATCAGCTCTACAGTTCAGGTAGAGTGACTTTTTGGTACTAATTCTAACGTATGTGCTGCATACACATACATTTTTTACAGGGGGAAAATTACTTTTTACAATGTATGGAAACACACCTTTTTTAAAAAAAATAAAACATACCATAAGTAACTTAAAAATTAATAACTTACTGGTTTAATTAATAACCAAATTTCTACACTGTTTGTAATCTTTTCAAACCCATTTCTTTTTAGAAACACCCCCTTAAGGTGCTATATTTAAAAAAAATACATACAATTTTTTGTTGGATATTTTAAAATAATTTTTATTTATATTTATATTATAAACATGAATAATTTTAAAATTTCTTCTATCTTTTAATCAAAATTATTTTAAATATTAAGTATATGTATTTTAAATGCATGCTGTTCATGTAAGTCTTTTATATTCAGATAATCATTACAGTTTATAAACTTCTTTCCTGGTATTAAAATACGTTTTAAAAAGACATTCAGGTAAAGTATTTCTTAGCAATGTGTGTTTTAACAACTAGATTTAAATACATGTGAATGATGACAAGTTTTATTTTTAAATTTTAATTAAGAATGACTTCTAATAAAATATCTTTAAGTACTAATTAACAAAATTTAATGAAGCCAATTTAAATAGAGGTATATATAAATCTAGATTAAAATACTTTATAATTACATTTTCTCAAGCAAACTCATAGGGGTATTCTTACATATGATTTATAGCCACTGCCAAATTTAAAGAAAGCAGATATTGAACTTTGTAGATCTGTTTTCTTATGTATATTACTTACCATTAGATAGCATATCATCATTTATTGTGCATTTTATATATTGAGTAGCATACTGTACTAATTTTGTAAAAATGGAATTTGTAAGATTGAGTACAGTAAGATCAAGTTTTTATTTTGCGTCAGAGGCAGAACTAGAAAAAAAGAAACTAGATTTCTACCTCCTTGTTAAATTTGTATTCAGTAAGCCACTAGAAATGATAGTGTCTGTTGCTAACAGAAAGCATTACAGCTGTGTTCATTTTACCCACTGGATGTGATCTTATTCTTTCAGACGTTTTGTTTGTATTTAAATATAAAAGAAAAAAACAGAAAGTAAGAACTAGAAATTATAACTCCCCATGTGAAGTTTACTTTCTCTAAGAGAGCTGTTACATTTTTTCAACATGGATTATTTATTGTTAGTTTATAATGAAATGCAAAATTGTTCAGATGGGAGAGGGGTTGGAAAGATTATCTCATGTACTATCTCTTTGGAATATTCTGTTAGGTCATGTTAAAGAAAAACTCTCTCTCAGGCACCAAGAATACATTTGTGAATTACCATTTGAGAGACATTGTATTAAGACACTCTTTATTTACCATAGAGAGTAAGTGTACAAGAACAAAAAGAAATAGTTTCAGAATCATATTTTGAAATTATGTGATAAACTCAATGGTAAAGAATGTTGGTGAGGTTTTCAGAATACAGTCATATCCTAAAAATTCACAAACAAAATGAAAAAAAGACATCTGGTTGCTCCTTCTGACTTCCAAGAATACACTCTTAAACTTTCAAGGGTCTTCAGTCTATAGTATGAGAAAAATTCATCTAAAGCAACCTGACTTATTTTAAAGAAGAACATTACCTGCCCAGCGTGCTTGTGACTTACCCAATTTATAAAGACAATGCAAGATTAGAGAGACTAAGAGTCGTAAGTAAAATGTTCAGTGTGTGTATATTCTTCATTCAAAGCTCTCTCCACCCCAAGAGGAAGAGAGAAGTTTTTGATTCATTGTAAAATACTTTCTGTTTTCCATGCTAAAATTATTCAACCAATTAACCACAATGAATTAAGGCAATACTGTGAAATTTGTATTAGAATGTGCACTTAATAATTTGGAAGTATAGAACTTGGCTTTATTACTAGGAGGAGAAATGTGATAATGAATGTGAAAAAAGGGTTGTTTTTCTCTTAATTCAGATTTTTATTTACACATAGGAAAAATATAAGAGATGAATCTAAGTAAGATTTAACAACTAATGTAGTATCTCTATATGTTTGCCTGCTGTAACTTTTACATATTGAAATGGGATGAAACAAAAATCTAAACACTTTGAAATATTTTCCTTTTTTTTGCAGTTGCATATAATTTAATGTAACCTAAATAATGCAGTCTACTTTTCATTTATTTTTAATGTATGTATTAGTTTTATGGAATCGCTGTTCCTCACTATAAATGAAACTTGTATCAAATTACCAGTGCCTTGAGCAGTTTTAGCTGGAATAGCTAAACAGGAGTTGCCCTTAGCAGTTGAAGCAATTTTCTTAATTTTCTGTATTTATTCTTGTTCATATATTTTATAAGATTAACAACAATTAAAGCAAAACATATAAAAAATAAAATAGGACTAAGATATGGAAAGACAACTTTTTGGATGTCAAAGAGCATTTTAATTGACATTTGAATTAATCAGAATAACCTAAAAAGTTTGAGTACCGGTGAGTTATTCTCCGTGTTCCACTGGTGCTTGCAATTTTTATATGACAAAAACCCCTACAACCCACAGTTATGCCACAAATACTATTTTGTGGAAGGTATCTGGTAGTTTTTAAATGCTTATGGTTAAACTTATAAATATCCTAAAATAACATTTTCAAAGAATAACTGTTAACAACAAAATTAATCTTTGTAAAAGCATTTATATGTAAGAAATGGCTTTTCTGGTTTACTCATCTAGAAAGAATGCCTGTGTGGAAAAAAGGGAAAGAACCACAGAAAACTATAGAAAGCATTCCGTTAAGTGTATAGTTGATATGTATAGAAAAATTCCGTTATTCTGTACAAAATTTCATTTCAAATGAAGGAACTTTTTTTTTTACTTATTACTGGAAAGCATTATTGACATTCCTATTAAAAGATTAGTTTTCATCAGAGATATAGTAATAATTTTTATATATTGCTTTAATTCATGGCAGACAATTTTCCTATATAAAAGGATTTTAGAGTGTGCTTCTAAGGTTTTTTTCATTCTTGTTTCCTCTTTTTTAAAGTCATTGGTAATGTTTATCTGTAAGCTACTGTTAGCCATTTATTATTTGAAAAAAATGATCTGTTTTACTTCAGAGTAATATGAAACTCACAAATGTGACCAAGATACTACTTTATATTAGCTAGACATTAATTATATATATTATATAATTATATGTTATTATGTATTATAGACAGTAGTTATATTTATCATTAATTTCTTTGTAAAATTTTTGGAGGACAAAATAAATGCTTATAAAAATCAATATCAGTATACCTCATCTAGTAACTTCTCTGAATTCCTTTGGATTTATTTTGGAAGTTAAGTGGGAGACAGAACAAGCAGAGGTCTGGTATATTTGGCCTCCTCTGGGAAGATTTCTTGGTCAGTCGTCCAAAACTTCACTGTCTTTTTTAATCTAATTTTACATTCCCATCTGTTCTCACTTTAGGATGAGGGAACTATTTTCTTCTTTTGTTTCATTTGACAGATACTGAAATTTGGCAACATACTTCTTTTACAGAGACATTCATTGTGTATGTTTATTTGTGGCAGTGATAACTAAACTTAAGTAGTCCTTTGACCCTCCACTGTGTATTTAGGGAAAAAAATGTCACTTTTTTTCACCCCAGAAAATTATGTGACTTAATCTTTTGTGGTTGTGATGATTAACTTTGTGTCACCTTGACTCACTGTGCTTCTCATTATTATGTCATTATTCTCCATTTTGAGGCCTGGGGTAAGGAAAGATTCCTTAAGGGGCTAGTGTACCTCCAGTTCATATGTGGATTTCTATATAGGGGCGCTCTGGTGGTTTAGTGGTAAGGAGTTGTGCTGCCAATCCAAAGGTTGGTGATTCGAATACACTAGCTCCTGCATGGGAAGAAAATATGCAGTCTTCTCGAGTGTGATTTATAGCCTTTAAAAACCCACTGAAGGATAAACTGTGAGTTGGTTACCACTCGATGACACATAACAACATAAATCTGTGAAAGTTCTCGCAATCATTAATCCAGTCCACAATTCTCTCACCTATAGTTCTTGTGACTTGAACCAGCAACCTGTTGTCTGGCACACAGGCTTTACCATTCACCTGTTCATGTAGCCTTGTGAGCCAACAGTTAACACTCTGACCTGCCAATTGAGGGTTTGTCAGCCTTTTGAAACACAATGAGTCAGAGACCTCCAGCCTAATGCCTGGCCATGGACTTGGCATTTGCCAACATCCACCCCTTGTTTTGCTTCACTAGAAGACCAATCCTAAAGCAGTAGTGTTTTCATTAGTCAAGTTTATGTAACCACAGTTTTTTCAATAAGAATGTCTTTACTGTAGAAAAGAAAAAAGTGCATTCATTCAGTATTCTTCCCAAATAATTTATATGGTCTAGTAAAGAATATTAAAATTTGGCATCATTTATGTAAATATTACAATCAAATAACTGTTATAACTTTGACAAGTATAACTCTTTAGCCATTGTAGGAACTAGCTTTGGTATTAATTTGCAACATATTCCCATAATGATGAAATAAACCTTGACTCTGATAGGATTATGTGATAATAGAAAAATGATTTCTTTTTTTACCCCTTTGGATTCAGTGCTTAATATGAGTGCCAGAAATTTTAGGGATTGTGGTTGGTTTAAAGGGTGGATTCTTGTCCCCTCCTCTTTTATATTTTTTTAAACACATGGAAGCAATAAGTCTGCAATAAAGCATCCATTTGGAGGGGATGGTAACTTTCCATACCATTGTTTCATCCTTTCTGTGCGGTCCTTTTTCTTCCACTAAGAATTCAGAAATTGTGCATACCAATATTTATTTATTTTTATATATGTATATATAAATAATATTATTCTAATAGTTTGAAAATATTAGGACTTAGGTGAATCACTGTATAAAGCAAAGTTTCCAAAACTTAAGGTGAAACAATTTTATTTTTTTCACTACTCTGTATTAGAAAATTTTACCCCAAAAGATTTTTCTGTT